TATTCCTAATGTGATTGTTGGTAATATCTACTGAAATGTTCACTATGATAGATAAATGAAATGATTGCTGCCAATGCTCATTATTAGCCCATGCCACAAAAGTGTACAAAGTTATTTACAGAAAGGGAAATTGTATGTGTTAGGGAATGAATGCCTTGCCTAGTGCCACAAAGTGCCTGTCACAGCAGAGCTTTCTTTCCTTGAACTCATATTTAGAAACCGAGTTTGTTGTCTTAATGAATGACACCAGTGTACTTGCCTGCATTCTTCTTTAATTAGCTGTTTAGTAGAATTTCCACAGGAGAAGAGATTAAAATTACCAAGAAAATCTTACTTTTTAGTCAATATGCACAACAATGTGTTCCAATTCCACTTCTGCCAGGCTTCTCTTCCTCCAATATTCCCAGTCTACATTCCACTCTTTCCTCTCTCTCTCTCTCTCTCTCTCTCTCTCTCTCTATATATATATATATATATATATATATATATATATATATATTATGTAAAATTACAAATATACATATTACATTATATACATATGATGTATAAACAACCTACTGGGTCCATTTAGTATTTTTTATACCCACATGTGTTCAGGCCTGAGAAGTCAGGATTGGAAAAGCTATATTGGGGGCTGTCCCTGGAAGAAACTGATTCTAACTCTGGGATTCTACCTCTGTCGACAGGTTTGACCACCTGTAGTTCTTCATCTTTGGGTTGAGCCATGTGTACTCTCCCTTATCCATGTTGACATGCCAACTGGTGTTATCTCTGCTCAGGCAGCCACATTTTTGAGATTCATGCATGCATTTCCTTTGTCATTTCTAGCAGAACCTATCTAGCAGCAGGCATTCTAGTCCTCTGTCTCTTACAATCTTTCTGCCACCTCTTTTGTGATTCTCTTGAGTCTTAGATGTAGGGGCTGCACTGCAGATTTTGCAAATTAGGGTCTCTTACTCTTTGTATTTAGACGAGTTGTGGATTCCTAACCCATGGGGGAAAACAATGTACATAGATTTGTCTTTGGGGATTGTCTTGACTGTTAATAGGTGTAGGGATGTCCAGCCTACTATGGGCCAAACCATCTGTAAGCAGGTGGTCCTAAATTGTATAAGAAAGGTAGATGAGTATAAACTGACCTTCAAGCCAGATAGTAAGCCACATTATTCTATGTCCTTACTGTATCTCTTTAGTTGTAAAGTGTGTTACTTCACTAGGAGTAATGCTGTATGGAACAGCAAGCAGTCCTGGTTTCAAGTTTATGAACTGATTCCTTCAGTGATGGACTTTGTGATTTGGCACCATAAGCCAAAATGAAGCTTTTACTCTCCCAAATTATGTTTTGTCAAGATATTAGCCAAAGCAACAGAAAGGAAACTAAGATACCAAGCCCAGTAAATGTTGTCAGTATGTGTATGGGTGTGAGCCATCCACTGAAGCATGAGAAACCTACAAATGTCTACACCTTCAAAGAAGAGTGTTTCTCCTCCTCCTGTCAACTGATCACAATTAGTAGGGCCTATAGAGCACCTCCCATTTGTGTGTGGATTTGGCTGGCTTAGTCTCATGTAAGTAATTCTCATGTAACTAACCACACACATCAGTTGAGGGAGAATACCACATGATCACTTGTTCTCTGCATTTTTATTGGTTATGGTTATTGTTTGATAAGGGGTGAGGACTACACTTATTTGCAGGTACAAAGATAGATATTTAGAATGTAATTAGGGATTATGCTCATTTAGTAAGGTGGTGGTTGTAGGTTTTCCTCCAAGATACCTAACCTCACTAGTCCTGGGTAGTTGTCTATGTTTCCAGTACCAGGCTTGATTATCCTCTTGTTGAGTTGTATCTTATGTCCAATTAGAGAGCTTTTGGTTGTCACCAACATATGAGTAAGTACTAATATTGCAAAAATATATAAACTTAGGCTTTTATGCCATATTGCTAATTGTACTTAGTAGGCATAACAGCTGGGTAGAATAATTGGTTGCTTCTCATCCTTGGAAACTTTCATGTCACTCCCTGGTACCATGAAAGTTAATCATCAGGAAGAGGGGCTTCCAGTCAGATCAAGCTGGGATCCTTTGGGTCCTGTGTTGCATGATGTCATCAGCAATAGAGACTCAATGATATTTCTGGGATGCAAACAGGTCAAGAGTAATAATCTATAATGCTTTAGGAGTCTCTTGAATTTTCTGACCAACAGATGGAATGAGGAATTCTCACGACTGGTATTGAGGTTTTTGTTTGTTTAAGGTATCTATGGCTCTTGGGAAGAGTACTGTCAGCACAGATAGAAACATTTAATTTAAACTATGTATGTAAAGGTTTGCACACATACACTTATACTTACATATTTTATGTAATTTTAGCCAAATAGATACTAGTATGACTCCTTAAAACTTTTTAAGGTGTGGTTACTGTAATTTCACCGGCCTCCGTCTCTCTCCTATGTTGGCCTCCCTTCCCCTCCTCTAAGTTTTCCTATTTCTCCCATTAAATTGTGCTTCTTCCCCGACCACATGTTCCCTTTATACCTTTCCAGCTTCTGCGGTTAATCCAGGTTATAAATTTCCATCTAAAGATTTGGAGTTAGGAGCCTCTACAGTTTCCATTGGAGTTAGGAGTTCAGTGGCAGAGTATGTGGTATTTGCCTTTCTGGGTCTTGGTCAACTCAAAATAATTTTTTCTAATTCTATTGATCTAGCTGTAAAGTTTATGATGTGGTTTTTCTTTATATTAAAGAATATTCCACAATGTGTAGGTAACACATTTTCTTTATTCATTCATCAGTTGAAGAACATTTATGTTGTTTCTATATCCTAGTAACTGTGAATAGAGCAGCAATGAACATAGCTAAGCAAGTATATGGAGTAGGATGTAGAGTTCTTTGGACATATACCAAGAAGTGGCACAGCTGGGTCCTGTGGTAGAATCATCTTCAGTGTTTTGAAGATTCTCCACACCTGGTCCAGGGTAGCTGCACCAGTTTGCATTCTCCCAAGAGTGAATATGGATTGCTACCCCTCACACCACCTCCCCAGCTCTTGTTGTCACGTGTTTTATTGATTTTAGATACTCTAATTGAGGTGAGATGAAATCTCAAAATTATTTTAATCTGCACTTCCTTTATTGCTGAGGATGATGAATAATTTTGAGATTTTTTGGGTCATTTTTATTTCTTTTGAGAACTCCATCTACACAGTCTTGTCTTCTGACCATCTGCATTTCCTTCGCCAGGAAGTGATGGAGTGGAAAGGGCTGGTTTAATGTGACTTGTGGAGAGGCCTGAAGTCACTTTTTTTGGTGGTGTCAGTCCACTAGGGGGCACTGCAGGGTTCCGAGAAACTACTTTTTCTTAAGTTGCCTAGCGCTTTGAAGAGCTGAGAAGAGACATAAAGCAATCAACCCACAAAGCAAGGAGTAGGGGTCACTGTGTGGAGTTCACCGGATCTTTAGCTCTCGATCATTCTATATAAAACAATAGATATCTAGAGCCTGTTCACTGGATCTTATGTGTTTATAAATCCATTTTAAGAACAATTCTCTGAACAGATGTAAGCAAAATAGAATCTCACTGGGCATTATGAGGATGGACAGTCAAGAGAAAACATCTCCACTGCTTTCTGTTTTTTAGTTTTATGTTTAAAATTTCCCAAATTCAAAGAAATAGAAATTATTCCAATAACCTTTATATCATATATAATATATGTATGATATCTTTCTCCTTCATCTATCTATCTATCATCTAGCTAGCTAGCTAGATATCTACCTATACTATAAAATAGACAGAAAAATAATAACTACTTAAGAAAAAAACTGGAAAAAGTAGAAGGTAGGGGGCCTCGCTGAACTTGAGCAGGCATTCACAGCCTGGTCAGAATCGGCAGTGTTTTCCTGCACAGCTGTGGAAAAGAGTTGGGCAGAAGTCAAGAAATGGAAAATAAATTATGGTGAAAACATGGGCATGCCTTGTTTTTCTTATGACCAATAAAACTGTCCTTGAGAACATTTTGATGTTCCCATGGTGATCTGATAATTTCAAGAAATTCTTTTTATTCCTTACAGTGCATTGCATGCTGATTTGTCCCATTGTGTGATTTAAGATGCCAGGATTTTCTCACTGTGTATATTAATTACACTGAAGGGTGGTCCCAAGCCCAGGAGTACATAGCCAGGAGAGAATGAACCCAGTGGTACTTTGTATCATATTGCTTAGTTTGTTTTTTTCTTTTCTTTTCTTTTTTTTTCTGGTCTTATTGGTCTTTTATCTATATTTTATATTTATCTGTCCTCTTGTGCTTTATGGGTTTTGGGTGTGTGTATTTCTTTATTATTTTTTAATTTTGGTGTGCTTGTTTGCCTGTCTGTTTCCGAGAGAGAGAGAGAGAGAGAGAGAGAGAGAGAGAGAGAGAGAGAG